TGATCTGGAAAGGGGCAAGACACACCCATCTTTCAGGACACTGGCCTATTCAGGAAGCTGAAAGCAGGGACTTTCTTCCTGGACCAGAAGATCACTGTAGGGGAAGTCAAAATACCCATTGTGATCCTGGGAGACCCTGCTTACCCCTTAATGCTGTGGCTTATGAAGCCATATATGGGGCATCTTGACAGCAGCAAGGAGCGGTTCAAACCAGAACTATTCTTTTATTAAAAATCAACCACCGGAGGAGAGAGGAAAAAAACCACAACACCACATCTGCTCTGCGGGGATGGGGGAAGGGAAAGTCCCATGAGGAGGTGGGGTCCCAGGACCGTTAAAGATTTGTGTATGTCTGCAGAAAAGGACCTAGGGGTTACAGTGGACGAGAAGCTGGATATGAGTCAGCAGGGTGCCCTTGTTGCCAAGAAGGCCAATGGCATTTTGGGATGTATAAGTAGGGGCATTGCGAGCAGAAGGAGGGACGTGATCGTTTCCCTCTATTCGACACTGGTGAGGCCTCATCTGGAGTACTGTGTCCAGTTTTGGGCCCCACACTACAAGAAGGTTGTGGAAAAATTGGAAAGAGTCCAGCGGAGGGCAACAAAAATGATGAGGGGACTGGAACTCATGACTTATGAGGAGAGACTGAGGGAACTGGGGATGTTTAGTTTACGGAAGAATGAGGGGGGATTTGATAGCTGCTTTCAACTACTTGAAAGGGGGTTCCAAAGAGGATGGATCTAGACTGTTCTCAGTGGTAGCAGATGACAGAACAAGGAGTAATGGTCTCAAGTTGCAGTGGGGGAGATTTAGGTTGGATATTAGGAAAAACTTTTTCACTCGGAGGGTGGTGAAACACTGGAATGCATTACCTACGGAGGTGGTGGAATCTCCTTTCTTAGAAGTTTTTAAGGTCAGGCTTGACAAAGCTCTGGCTGGGATGATTTAATTGGGGATCGGACCTGCTTTGAGCAGGGGGTTGGACTAGATGACCTCCTGAGATCCCTTCCAACCCTGATATTCAATGATATTCTATGTCCAGGTATCATATGCAACCTTCTTCTTTGGAGTACAGTGCAGCAGGTACGGTACTTCAGCAGGGCTAAACTGCAGAGGGACAGGTGTTGAGTGCAGTGGGTACTGGGCGTCCGCAGGGCTGGACTGTGATGGGGCAGGAGTGGAAGGCAGCAGGTACAGACTGGAGCCAGGAGGTTGCTAAGAGCGTGTTGGCGGTGTCAGGGGGGTGCATGGGAAAGAGTTTTCCGACAGAGGCTGCAGGTGAGAGCAGGCGCGGAGCTGCTCAGTTTGCAGTGCTAGTAGCACCTGGAGTGTGTCTGCTTGGCGCTCCATAATGTTTAAAAGATGCTCCATGGTTTCGTTCTGGTGTACCGTGTTCTCCTTTCGGTCCCTCTTCTCACTGTCCAGCCACTCTTTCAATTCTTGTTTTTCGACCGCAGAGTGCATCATGACCTCATGCAGAAAGTTCTCTTTAGTTCTTGATGGCCACTTTCTAATTCTGCGTAGGCATTCGGCCGGCGATAAGAAAGAGGGAGGCTGGGCTCCCAAGGGCATATCTGTGAAGCCAAAATGCAGCATTTTACAGAAGCGGTATTGTTTGCAACACAGAGACCACTGATGCAGTGATTTGAAACACAGCCACTATTCACATACGTGTCACTAACTGGCTGAACCCAGACAAGCACACATGAGCCACAAGACCCCCAAATGGTGACAGGGACAGGGGAAATCACTGTCCCAGGACAATACTGTACACTGGGCATGTTGCTCTTGGAGAGAGACAGCACTGTAGGAAGGGCCTTATAATCATTCCTGTGCCCACGTTTTCCACAGGCTGTGTTTATTATGGAAGATATCTTGCTGCTAAGGGTGAGCAGGGAATCAAGGGAGGGTCTTCTCCAAGACTGTGGCGTCCACCCTGGCCCTTAAGTGGCTCGCCTGTGTGAAGCAATTGTCTCCCCCACTCCTCCCCAGTGAAGGCAGAGTGGCACGGGAAAGTTACCCTTAATGGGGCAAGAGACTAAGCAGTTCTGTCAAAAAAGCTGTGGCAATGGGTTGCCCAGTATCTTCAGGAGAGATTCATGGAGATCTCGGGTAGATTCCAGGGAAGTGAGGGAGTCAATCATCACCCTGTTCCGCCGCTCAGACTGGGCATGTGGTGGTACACACATCATACAGACACAAGCCTGCTTTCTGCAACCCTCCTGACCCCAAGAACTCACTTCAGCAATTCCCAAAATCAAACCCACTTACCAGGCGCCTCCTCTTCTGTTTGCGCTTCACCAAGCTCCGACAGCTGAGCCTGGCAAGCTTCCTCCGGGATAGAGAAGAACTCGTGGCTACATGCATCTCTGACCTTTGACTCATCATCTGCCTCTGGGTCTCCCTCCCTCCAGTCACACAAATGAGGGTCATTCTTGTCAGTTGCCAGCCTCATCCAAGATTTCCTCCTCCTGGCTCAGTCCACTCTTGACTGGCACGTGAGCCACCGAAGTATCCACAATGGACTTCACGGTGGAGGTGGGGTCACCACCGAGTATCACATCCAGCTCTTTGTAGAATCGGGAGCTTGTGGGTGCAGCACCAGAGTGGTGGTTTGCCTCCTGCGCCATGGAGCAGGCGTTCCACAGCTCCTTCACTTTCACCCTGGATTGCAGTGTGTCCCGGTCATGGCCCCTTTCTCTCATGCATCGTGAAATCTGTCCATACGTATCCTACGGCTGGAGAACAGCTGGGACTGGACAGCCTCCTCTCCCAAAATGCTGACGAGGTCCAGCAGCTCAGCATTGCTCCAAGCGGGGGATCGCCAGATGCGTGGAGCAGGTGGGTCACCTGGAAAGATGTGCTGAGACCACTGCATGTGTCACCGAGCAAACAGGAAGGGGATTTTCAAAATTCCCAAGGAATTTAAGGGGTGGGCTTCACAGTAGGTCATCTGCGGGCGGTGCAGTACACCTCAGGAGTTACACTGCAGAAAGCTGCTTTACTGAGCAGAAACTTGCCAGTGTACACCAGGTGTAGATGGCTTACATAAGAACGCCAAGGCTGGCCATACTGGGTCAGACCAATGATCCATCTAGCCCAGCGCGCTGCATGAGAGTGACCAGTGCCAGATGCGTCGGAGGGAACGAACAGAACAGGCTTGTTGACCTGCAAGGTGAAGGTCTGTCACCCTTACCTTTAACATTATTGTTGTTGATTCCTACTTACCCTATCTTACCACACCTCCCCTGAGGTCTCTGGACAAATCAGGTGTGAACCACTCCTTTGATACAGACCTGTCCCAATGCAGCTGAATTGAGGCAGACTTTGAGAAATCTGCTGGGTGAAGCAGGCCTTTTCCAAAATGACATTGGCCCAAAGTATCTGTTGCTGTGAACCACACTTAGTGTGGATGTGTGAACCCCAAAGATATCAAACATAAAAGAAACACAAATCCAGCTTTGGGGAGGTTTCCAGAGCCAGGTCTCAGAGTTTAACAGCTGTACTCAAAAGGCAAAAGGTCCTCAGCACCTATAAAAATAACTGGTTGAAAAATTTAAATTAAATAAAAAAACCAAACCAAAAAAACAAAAAAAAAACCAACCCAGAAAAGCTCACATCACACGTTCATCACCATTGTAGATTTTGACATCTCCTGCCTAATGTGACATCTTTGCTTTGCGAACAAGAGACCTGGGGAACTTCTCTGGAGTAGAATTCTTCACCAACCACACAACATATCAGTAGCGATAGTGAGGTATAACTCCCCGAAATATGTCCTTTTATTCCTTTAATCTGGTGGCACAGACTTAAATTAGGGACTAAATTCAGGTGCTGCTTAGAATCCCTGTAAGACACCAAATGTCAGGTATCTATTAACAATAGGTGTCTTTCTGCAGGTATATCCCATTCAACATGGATTTCATTTTCTACACATTTGCAGCATCTCCCAGGGGTGAGCTGAACAGGAACGTCACTTCCATTTTTCCCATCTCTACCTAGATAGGGATTGCATTTCCCAAATAATAGGCAACATACATCTGATTAGGAAGGAGATATCTTCAGGAGCGACCTCCTGCAGGACCTGGGCCACAACTGCTTTAGGAGCCAAGTGCATGGGTATTTTGCTTAGTTACAAGTCATTTTACTAGGGAATCCTCTTCCCAGCCCTTTAGAAAAAATATTAACTTAAGCAATTGAACAACAGGGGGGATTGGGATGGTGATGGGGAATAAGGGAATCCCTCTGATTGACCCTATCTTCTTCTGTTGTTACAGAGGGGAAATGACATTTTCCCCTATCCCTGCCCTGTTCCTGCTTTTTATTATAGTTCAAAATGTTTTAAGTAAGGAAAATGGTAGTAAAAATATCTGCTCTCCAACACAACCTGAAGCAACATCAGAGCAACTGGGAATGAAACCATTTGTTCCCAAAGGGGGAACTTGATGAGTAACAATTGCTTTGAAATGGGGGAACAGTATAACCGTGATGCTCAGGGTTTGTTTAGACTAGGAAAAGTGATGGAGTTTAGGTCAGGTCAAGGGGAAAGCCAATGACAACCATGGCACCTGAGCTGCATCTGCACAACATCTAAAATTGCCTTTTCACACCAAGATCCCTAACTTGAGCAGCAACTGCCATGTACAGCCCTAGTGGATGTAAAGCACAGGTAGATTTTGCCTCAGTGAAGCTTGTTGGGATCAAACCTCTCTCCCCATCCGGGAGCTGTTGAACATTCCTGGCTGCAGGGACACACATTCGTACGACTCAAAAGGAAAGCAGTTGATAGAAAAGATCACAGGACTGACCCCAAAGAAGGGTGAGCTGCAAAAGGCAGACGCAGGCAACTGATCTCGGGGAGCTGACAGACCACAGTGAAGATGGTGCACAGATCACTGTGTGAGAATTAGCAAATGTGATTTAAAAAAAAAAAAAAAAAATCTTTGCCCAGCCCTAATCAAGGCATTTGTTACAGTTCTCTCTCATTAGTTCTCTCTCATGTGGATTTTCTGATGTCTAATAAGGTGTGAGCTGCTTTTGAAGCTTTTCCCGCACTCAGCGCATGTGTAGGGCCTCTCTCCTGTGTGGATTCGCTGATGTGTGATGAGGGTTGAGCTCTGAATGAAGCGTTTCCCACACTCAGAGCATCCATAAGGTTTCTCACCCGTGTGGATTCTCCGATGTATAATCAGGTCAGAGCTCCGATTAAAGCTTTTCCCACACTCAGAGCATGTGTAGGGCCTCTCTCCTGTGTGGATTCGCTGATGTGTGATGAGGGTTGAGCTCTGAATGAAGCGTTTCCCACACTCAGAGCATCCATAAGGTTTCTCACCCGTGTGAATTCTCCGATGTATAATCAGGTCAGAGCTTCGACTGAAGGTTTTCCCGCACTCAGAACACGTGTAGGGCGTCTCTCCTGTTTGGATTCTGCGATGTCTGATAAGGTGGGATTGCTGACTAAAGCTTTTCCCACACTCAGAACATGTGAAGGGCATCTCTCCTGTGTGGTTTCTACAATGTGAGATAAGTTCTGAGTGCCAACTAAAGCTTTTCCCACACTCAGAGCACGTGTAGGGCTTCTCTCCTGTGTGGATTTTAAAATGTATGATAAGGTGTGAGTGCTGACTAAAGCTTTTCCCACACTCAGAGCATGTGTAGGGCTTCTCTCCTGTGTGAATTCTCTGATGCCTGATAAGGTTTGAGCTCTGATTGAAGCTTTTCCCGCACTCAGAGCATGTGTAAGGCTTCTCTCCAGTGTGGACTCTCTCATGTGTGATAAGGTTTGAGCGATCATTGAAGCTTTTCCCGCACTCAGAGCATGCGTAGGGCTTCTCTCCTGTGTGGATTCTACCATGTGTGATAAGGGTTGAGTGCTGACTAAAGCTTTTCCCACACTCAGAGCATATGTAGGGCTTCTCTCCTGTGTGGATTCTCTGATGTGTGACAAGGTTTGAACTCTCATTGAAGCTTTTCCCACACTCAGAGCACGTGAAGGGCGTCTCTCCTGTGTGGATTCGACAATGTGAGATAAGTTGTGAGTGCTGACTAAAGCTTTTCCCACAATCCAAGCATGTATAGGGCTTCTCTCCTGTGTGGATTTTAGAATGTATGATAAGGGTTGAGTGCCGACTAAACCTTTTCCCACACTCAGAGCATATGTAGGGCTTCTCTCCTGTGTGGATTCTCTTATGTGTGATAAGGGTTGAGTGCTGACTAAAGCTTTTCCCACATTCGGAGCAGGTGTAGGGCTTCTCTCCTGTGTGGATTCTACGATGTGCGATAAGGTTTGAGCTTTCCTTGAAGCTTTTCCCACACTCCGAGCATGTGTAAGGCGTCTCCCCTGTGTGGATTCTCTGATGTGTGATGAGGTTTGAGCTCTCGTTGAAGCGTTTCCCGCAGTCAGCGCACGTGTAGGGTTTCTCTCCTGTGTGGATTCTACCATGCGTGATAAGGTGTGAGTGCTGACTAAAGCTTTTCCCACACTCGGAGCATGCGTAGGGCTTCTCTCCTGTGTGGATTCTCTGATGTGAGATGAGAGCTGAACTACGAATGAAGTGTATCCCACACTCAGAGCATCCAAAAGGTTTCTCACCCGTGTGGATTCTCCTGTGTGCGCTCAGGGTAGAGCTGTGATTAAAGCTTTTCCCACACTCAAAGCATGTGTACGGTCTCTCTCCTGTGTGGATTCGCTGATGTGAGATGAGGGTTGAACGATCAATGAAGCTTTTCCCACACTCAGAGCACGTGTAGGGTTTCTCTCCAGTGTGGGTTCTCCAATGTGTGAGAAGGTCTGAGCTCCGATTGAAGCTTTTCCCACACTCAAGGCATGTGTAGCGTGTCTCTTCCAAGTTGATTCTCTCACATGTAATAAGGTCTGAGTGGCTACTCAAGTTTTCCTCTGGCATCTGCTGAGTCTCACAGGCTTTTGCTTTTTCTGGGAGTGCACAACTCCTGGAAACATTCCCTTTGGATCTTCCTGATAACATCCCATGGGGTTCTACTTGCTCAGCATCTTCCTGCTGGGGTGTCTCCTCCTCATTCTCACTCACCATCCCATCACTTGAAAGGAGACAGAGAGAATCCAGCCATAGGTCACTCCCTGCACCGGAAAGAAAGGAAATGTCAGACAGAGGAACGGAAAAAGAGATGAACAAACCAAAATATGTGTGGGAGAGATCAAACCTATCAGGAGCTGATTTTCCCCTAACCCTTTCCCAGAGGAGAGAAGAAGGGATCAGTTTTGGTCTGCATCTCACCAGAACACTCAGGGGAAAGTGAAATCGGGGAGGGACCTGCTGCCAGTTGTCAGTCAGAATAGGTGGGAAGCCATGAGTGACATCTGCCATAACGATACCATTCTGCAGGGAACAATCCTAAACTTGGAGAGCTCACAAGGTCTTTGTAGGGCATCCCAAATATTTCCTGCATTCCCAAACAGTTTTTGAGTTGGTTTAACCAATTCCTCACCTGTGCAGGCAGCTCTCCGGAGCACTTCTTTCTCAGAGCCCTGGAGGTCTGGGACCCATGGCTCCTCCCCTCGTTCCAGCTGCGAGATCACATCAGGTTTGGAAACTGGAAACCCTACTCCAGGGAAAGAAAACAAGGGAGGTCAGTGGAATTTGTGGGATACTTGTCACAAAGAATATTCCATGGTTTTAATCCCAACTTATTTTTAAGCAGCAACATTTCAAGGCCATCTTGTTTGGCGCAAAGTGGCAGGACAGTTATTATTATTCTAAATCACAGTCATTACCTTAGTGCCTAAGGACCAACTAATAGTGAGTCCCCATTATGCTAGACAAAGTACAAAACACAGAATAGTAGGTGGCCCATGCCCTGAAGAATTTACCATCTAAATAGACAAGACAGACACAGAAGGGGGAAGGGGTAGTACCTACTGTTAGAATATAGGTATTTAGGACTGCCTGTAAAGCTTATACTTTAAGAACTTAGCTGTATTTTTATCACTTAGCTACTGAAAAGGGGTATAATAACAAAGAACCAAAATCACAGTCCGCTGTGTGCGGGCATTCTCTCACTAGGATAGCCTCACACTTATTCTTAGGCTAAGGCCGTTTGCTAAGCAGCAGGGGCAGCCATAACCTGGGAAGCATAGGGTCACATCCTCACATCCCAAACCAGTCACATGGACATAAGGTGGTATTGGGCTGTTAGAAAGACGATCCTGTCTGGATAGTGCCCATCACCACCAGATAAAGAAACAGATCTTAAGATGGTTAAAGAAAACGTAGTTTGATAGCATCCTGTCTGGCAAGAAATCACTTTTCAATGCTTGTGAAACCCTCATTTCTGTATTGTTTTATCTTTATGGCCACCACTTTTACCTTGTTAATCAGTCTGGTTCTCTAATTGTTTCTGTCTGCTATATAATTAATTTAGCTAGGTGTACGTTAATTAGGGTAGTGGGACATAATTGGTTAGAGAATTATGTTACAATATGTTAGAACTGGTTAGTTAAATTTCAGTACAATCATTGGTTAAGGTATAGCTGAGAATATTACTAGATAAACCTGTGAGCTCTGCCTGTTCAGAGACTGTTCCTCGTTCAATGCACAGAGCAAGTTTTTGCTGGGACATTGGGCAGACTTCTAAAACACAGCAGGGTTTATTAGTCAGCTGAAACACAGCATTGGAAAGCCCTTAGATTAGCACCGGAAAGCAAAGAAGACAAAGAAGTCCATGCTGGCCAATGCCCTTGAGCCATGCTGCTGTAGAAAACAGTTTGGTTTCCTTTCACTGTGCCTGTCCATTAGTCTTCGCTCCGGCAGAGCTCCCTGCGTCTGCGAGCCCAGTTCTTCCTGCTCCCAAAAACATAACGAGTCCATGTATGCTTCATCAGCCAAGCAGAGATCCTCCCATGGACAGGTGTCAATTATTCCCTTGTCTCTGTCGGGTATTCCACTGATGTAGGTTGGTCCCAGCCAGTCCTTAATAACCCATTCATATCACCCCATGACAGCTACATGACACCTCATGTCTCCTTCTCTTTATAATCATAGCAATACCAATCACTGTGTAGAGAAGGCTGGGGAATTAACCACTAAAATTGAGGAGCAACAGCCGCTAATTCTTCCAGAAAAGGAGAATGTAAGAAACAAGAACTGGGCCACGCAACCTCAGGAGGGCCAGGCTCAAAGATCCAAGGAGCCTGGAGGGAAGACAGCTTGTGGCAGCTGCAGATGGGGAGAGCGGGGAAAAGACACTTTCCAAACTCTCACTCCTGTTGACCCAGACCTGATTTTCTGATCTATGACCTAGTCTCATGTCTTGTGGGCAATTTTATACTCGCTAGAGGTAAAATGTCATGTTCAGAGTATTGCTTATTAGCTTGGAACATGGGTGGAGGGGCAAGGAGGGGAACGGAAATAAATGGGTTATTAAGGGCAGGGACTACACTACAGCCGAGATCAAAGCTCTGAGATGGATCCACTGATGGTCGATGTAGCAGGTCAAGTAAAGACTCGCCAACTCAACTGCAGATCTCTCTCTCCAGTGGACCCCTGTACTCCACCCCTGACGAGAAGAGTAAGGTAAGTAGACCCTGCGGCAACTTGACCTAAGGTACATCGACTCCAGCTATATTATTCACGTAGCTGGAGCTGCACAGCGTAGGTCGACTTACCGCGGTAGTGTAGACATAGCGTAAGCTTGCAACAGTTAAGGGTCTTATATTACGTTCAGGTTTTGTGGTTATGCAGTTATGCTGAAGTCTGGCCTAAGGAGAGAACCCGAGGTCAGATATTTTGCACCCTCATTTTGAGAGACTAACGAGTAACCACAAACAGGTGCAATACACCACAGGATTCTGAAAGAAGGAAGTTTGGGGCGGGCTTTCACAATTAGGTTGCTATGCAGTGTCTCAGCAGTTGTACCGCATTCATATAAATAACTGTGAGTCGCCATGGACAAGGGCAAGTTGTACCCCAAGACGTAATCTTATGGGTGTAAAAATGGTTCAGGCTACACTACCACCCTGTGACATCACCAACAAAGTGCCCATTTGTGCCTGGGTAGCGGCCCTGCCATGGGAGGGAGGAATGCAGCAAGGACTGAGGATCGGTGACCAGGGTCTCTGTGCATAGACATGGGGAGGTTATATGGGGAAGGGGGTAATAAGTTAAAATAATATTTGGCTGGAAAAATGTTTAATGAAGTGAAACTGAACAAAAATAAAACTGGAGTGTAGGCTCTAAAGCAACAAGGCTTGGGTGGGGATTCGGGGTTAAAGGTCTGGGATCCCCCACAGCTCTAGATCCCCAAACCTTTCGTCCCTCCCACTGACTCACCCAGCCCACTTCCTGGGTGCCCTTCCTCCACACTCCCCTCCCCTTCTTCCCATTACTCTCAGCCGACACCACTTCCCGGCACCGTGGGAACTTCTTGTGTTCCCTCCTCATCTCTCACTATCTCATTCCTCCCTGCTGCTTCTGAACTCTAACCCTGCACACACCCTCCCCATGTCCTGGCACCCCAGAATTATCTACTCCCCTGCTTCTCCTCCCCTCCCACAGCTCTGTTCTCCCTTCACCCGTGGGGTCCTGAAGGGCAAGATTATTCGCTCTCCTATTAATAGAGGAGCTCATCTGACTGTCACACAAGCCATCCATGAGTCATACACCTATTTACTCAATTTAGAATTCTACAGGCGACATATTTTCCTCTTAAAATGAGCAAAAGGCATGAAAGCTACAGTTATTAATGTAGTTATTAATGTATCCAATAAGGATATATTAAATGCAATTTTAAAATGACTGACAGCACCAAAAAGGCACATGTCCAAAAATTATACTAGTGTGTGGGAGATAAGGCAAAAAAAGGGGGGGCAAGGAAACTTCTCAAAACTTCTATGATGAATAAACGTGTAAAGTTATTACAACTCAGGTTCTTTAGAGACCCCACAGCTTCTAATAACCGAGGGGGCAGGACTCCTTACCCAGAAAGGCCACCGTCTCATAGTTCTCCTGCATGACATCTCTGTAGAGGGTTCTCTGAATGGGGTCCAGCAGAACCCCCTCTTCCCTGGTGAAATACACAGCCACTTCCTCGAAACTCACCGGCCCCTGAAAGAGCAAGAGTCCAACACTCAGTATCTGCTGTCCCAGTCACAACCCCACTAGTCACAGAACAGCACCACCAGGTAAATGGAAGCTACGGGAGGCACATGTTAACAGAGTCCCAGCCCAACTTGCTTAGAGCAGCCAGGAGGCATCAGAGGGTAGAAAGAAAGACATTTCTGTTTCCCAGCTGGCAGACAGAGGCAGGGTCTTCACATTTATCACATAGCTACTAGCCAGAGCTTGATAGAGGAGATGGGGCCGTCTCTGGACCCTGCTGGTGACTCCCTGGTAGGAATCCCAACACTCTCCAAATAAAATATATGGAAGAAAGGGGAAGTCAAGAGTAAAGAATATAAGTTAGAAGGTCAGAATTGTAGAAAATTGGTAAGTAAAGCTATCAGAAATCAATGATCAATCAATGAAAATAAGAAGGAAGTTTTTAGAAGTATACTAAGTACAAAATTAATCCTAACAATAGTAGTGGTAAATGACTAGACAGAAATGGCAGAATTATCAAAAATAATGCAGAAGAGGTAGAAGTGTTCAATAAATATTTCTGTCCTGGATTTGGAGAAAAACAGATGATCTACTAATATCATAAGATGTTGATACAAACATGACACATGCACACAAATAGGAAAATCATATTCAGCAAATCATAACAATTTCCCCATAGGATTTTTCCCCGCTAATGGACATTTTAGGTTCTGCCACACTGTGAAGCACAGAGTGAGCTTATTCCAGTACAGGCCTAGCCCCCTCCCACCAGGGTGTAACCCTCTGAGACAGGGCGAAACCCTCCCAGTAACAGAATCTCTGTATTACTCTTATAAAGTTTGCGGACGATGCAAGCTGGGAGGGGTTGCAAGTGCTTTGGAGGATAGTATTAAAATTCAATATGTTCTGGACAAACTGGAGAAATGGTCTGAAGTAAATAGGATGGCATTCAATACGGACAAATCCAAAGTACTTCACATAGGAAGGAACAGTCAGTTGCACACATACAACATGGGAAATGACTGCCTTGGAAGGAGTACTACTGGGGGTCATAGTGGATCAAAAGTTAAATATGAGCAACAGCGTTACACTACTGCAATGTAAAATCAATCGCCGAGAGGTAACGGGCCCTGGGATTGGCCCATCCACCCAAGACGGAGTCGTCACTTCTCACTAGTCAGCTGGCAAGGTAACGCAAGGCTCAAGTGACCAGCCTTGCTCCCTCCCAAACTATCAGTGGAAAACTATTGGGGCACCACCAAACAACTGAAACTGGGGTTGGGGGGAGCTGACGGTAACAGAAATTTAATCATCAGAAATCCCAGATATGAATAGTTTAAAGGTACACGTTACACATTGTATGGGGTGGAGGGGCAGGCCACAGTGTATAGGGGAGGGGACTTGTTTGGAGGAGGGGCAGACTGGGCACAGCTAGGGCATGGCTGGTCTAGGAGCAGAAGGCCCAGCTGGGGCACGACCATGTCAGAGATTTCTCTCATTGGCTCTGTTATAAACTGCCCATGACAAACACTTGAAAGAAGGGGAGACGGAGCTGGAAATGGTGGCAGAGGAAGAAGGTGGCGAAGGAGAGACATTTGAAAGCATGACCATTATTCCCATTCCACCATAACAAATAAAAGTACAAGAGAAGGGAGCTGCACTTCAGAATCACCCAGCACCTATGTGGAAAGAGCACTGGACAGGGACTATTCCTGGCTCTGGCACAGGCCTGCTGGGTGACCTTGGGTAAGTCATTGCACTTCTCTGTGCCTCTGAGTGCAAACTTGTGTGAGACCCAAAACTGCCTATAGGGCTTCTAACTCCTCCTGCCAACATCGCTCTGTGCAAAAAGCTAGAAAATTCACTTACAAAAAACATTATGAACGCAGGATTTGAGGTTGCCTGGAGCTGTCTGCCCCTCCAGAAGAGAGATCAGCAAAACTCAAACTTGTAATAATCAGGAAATGCAGAGATAAGGTACACACCAGCGTAATCCTAATTCTGACCCATGGGAGCAGTGACCCTTTCTTTAGTCCTACAACACACCTATGTGCACCCGGACATTTGAAATAGTGCCTGTCACTAAAGTACGAGGGAAAACGACAACCAGGGCACACAATAAAGCTCTTTATCTTTGCTAAGACGGAATTTGGTTTTAAGTGAGTTGCACCATACAGGAGCTACCGACACCCGTTCTACACTCAGACACTGAGCCTGCTCCCCAGAAACAGCCGCACACTTGGTCAATTGAACACCTCTTCACACCTTTTTACAAGTCTTTCATCCTTTCTCACACAAGTTCCAGCTAACATTCTACATTCACTTACCCATCGTTAAGCACACAGACTGCTCTCAGATCCCACCTCGCTGCTGATCATTTCCATGGTAAACAGTCCCCTGTTTCCTCCTGACAACATGCCCAGCTCAGTGCAGAAATGATACAGACTGGAAGCTCAAAGTACACCTACACCTCTTTCCTTTCATCGCACACATGGGGGGGGGACTCAGACCCAGATCGCCTCATATCACAATCTCACCTCCACCAAGCTGTTCTAACTAATGTCTCTACCTTTCAGTGCAGCTACACCTAACACAGTGGTGAGTGCAGGCAGCTACCTCCCCGTGGCTGTTGCCAGCTCCAGGGGGCAGAGTTAAGGTTGCATTGGCATGGACATTAGCTCTGTACTTCCAAGTTTTTGGAGGTTTGACTTTTGCTGAACTTGACATTCTGGCAAGGCCCAACATACTGCTGGGCAACCTTACTTCTGCATTAATGAAGGTGTCAGTGACTAGATGACTGTTCAGTACATTCCCAGAAAGTGATAACTCCTCATCCCTGCCTGCCATTCACACAGGCAGAAAAGCCCTGGGCAAGGCAAGCCTCTGTGGGGAAAGAGAAGGGGATAGAGCTTAGAGTTTCTCTGCCAGTCAGGAAGGGGTAGCAGCGCGGGAAGACTGGCAGCTGATAGTTGGAGGGGTGAAGAGGTTTGGGGTAGGGTGGGGGCAGAAGCAGCTGGGGCTGGGCAGTCTCCATGGGGGACACTTGCTCCTCCTGTGCCCCTTCCACACCCTCTTGCGAGTAGAGAATGACCACCCTCTCCCCACCCCCAGGGGCAGCCATGTCTCAGGACTCTCCCAAGTTGCACCCACTAACTCTCTTCCCATTTGGGGTGTAGCTCAGGGCAACAATTTCCCACCAAGATGAACCCAGCTGGCCGCAGCCGTTCTGGTGCCACAGGGGCCTCTGGTGGGTGAAGGGCAGAACCGCAGCACTTCTCGGGCAGAATGGATCTCCTGCATGCCGAAAAGAAAAGAAATTCCGTGCTGGACGTGAATTCTGTGCGTACGCAGTGGTGCAGAATTCCCACATGAGTAACTCACACCCTGCACAAACATCACCTGCTCACTCCCATCTCTTCTCCCTGTGTCTCCGAGCTGCCGCTGTCATTAATGCACACAGGCTTTCTCTCCCGTTAGTGCTGGCAAGACCCAATCCAGTGACAGGACTGAACCCTTATTTTCCCATCACATGGGACAGTCTCAGCTGAGGGGGAGGTGAGATTGGAAGGGGGTACAAAGGGAAAGGAGTTGTTGTAACCATGTTGGTCCCAGGATACCAAAGAGAGGGATTTTTAATTGGTTCTAAAAGAAATTACCTCCAAGAGATCTGAAAGTGGCAGAAGGAGACATAAACAGGAAGAGAGAGCTCAGGATGCTAAAGCAAACATTTTCAAGCCCCTGGAAGAAATTACAGTTCCCATCTGCCCTTCTGTGTGTTTGTGTCTTATATGAGGGACCACTCCATTCCTCTCACAGCAGCAAGGGGAAACTGCAGCCAGCCCCTGAGGGTCCTTCCCCATCCTGGGATGTGAAGGATCCTTGTCCCTTAGGTTCCACAGTGGCCAAAGGAGTTTACTAGTACTCCCTCCCCAGACTCCCGGGGGCAGCAAGGGATAAGTAGTGGGTTATGAGAGTTAGAAGATGAAAATTCATGAAGAACAATGATATTTGTGTGTTTATTATTAAATCCCCAGACATCCATGAATCCCCATCCTTTTTCCGATGAGCTATAAATACCTAAGGGATTCAGCTACTGATCCTACAGTGAGTTTCCGCCCCTCCCCACATTCTATAGCAGTACTTGTAAGAACAGGCCAGGGAAATGGAAATACTTTGAACCACATTCCAGAAGCTGCTGAGCATGCACAAGTTAAAATGACACCAAGACTCCGTTTCTCCAAGGACCTGGCTCCTAGTGCAAAAGTATAGCCATTCCCCAGAAATCTGAAATGGCAACTTCATAACCGATAAAATGTTATTTATCTATTGACTTCTGGGAATTACCAATAAAAGAAACAACCAGTGAAGGTGATACCATGAGGGAAAGATCTGATGTGTCTTTACAAATCAGTATAATCTAATCTGGGACTTTATACACTAAAATGCCTTATTCGTAGCCCTATGACCATTGCCTGCTGTCACTATGGGGCAGAATTAAGGTTGGGTGCCTTAGCTGTGAATTTCCATCCCATAGCACATTGCGATTGCTGTTAAGTGGGTTTGGCAACATTCATTTTGTCTATTTCTTTTTTTAATTTCAATAGATGATATCGATAGTTATTTTTAAGCCCTTTCTTCAATGTTTACAATTTCAATGTTCAGATCTGTGGGAAGTTATGGGGATGGTCAGACAACAATTATTTAATTACAGTAAATGTTGAGATTCAAAAAGCCAAATCTTTATAACTGTTCAAACACAAATTGTCAATGTCACATGCAAAACATACAGTGTAAATATCCATAAATCAAACTCTACTTTCTCCAGAAGCATTTCTACATTTTACCTATTTAAACATTTTTTCATCTCTGTGTGTACAGTGAAATCAACATTTACTGCAATTTATTCATAAAAATCCAATCCTTTCAAGCGTACTTTCAAGTAATGAAGTATTTTAATTCTTTCACTTCCTAGACTGTAATGCTTCCTTTGAGGATAATTACATCCTCCCTGTGATGTATTTTACTCTCAGTACCGTAACCCCATCGTGATGTAGCTCCTGTCTGGGAGCTCTGCTGAGGCCAGTGGCATTATGATCAGAAGGGGACACTCTGACACATGAGGAGAGACACATGGGGGAGGGTGGAGGATGAGGTAACATGGAGACTACCAGGGTTGAACATGGCCCAGCAGAGTGTGGGGAAACAAACTCCCTCTCAGTCTCTCCTCTCTCCCACCTCCCAGAGTCAGTAACTCTGATAAATCGTTCCCTGAAATCTAAATAGCCCCAGTATGTGAGACAGTGACTGATGCAGGTGTCTAAGGGGCTGCAGCCCCAACCCCCTGCCTGGACGAGGGGGATGAAGAACTGCAGTAGAAACGGGTTAGGCTAGGAGAGGGCACAGCTGACGTGGGACTGGGAGCTCAGTTGACCAAGAGGCCAGAACTTATGCAGGGGGTTGGGACAAGAAGTTAACAGGACTCGGTAGAGGCACTTCTGTGTATTTTCCCCGTTTACCATCCTGACATGTATTTAATTTTGAAACTTTTCATTCAGATTTAAATGCATTGGAGCGAAGCTCTGTTGAGGCATTTCCACGTACAGTGGTACAGTTTTAATTAGGTGCTTAATCAGATGCAAATGGAACACAAAGCAGTCAATAATTGGTGTGCTTTCATTCATTAACTTGACTGTGTGCGGTACATAGCTTTTAAAAAGAAAAGATGGTGTGAGAGAGTGTCAAAATTTCAGGCATTAAGACATGGAAATTAGGTGTCAGTTCAGTTCTCATGCGTTTATCTCATAATTTTAATTTCGGTTTTGAATCGGTATTAATATTACATTGTTTTCATAGTATTAGAGTCTATTTGTATAATCGTTTGGAAGATTTCATTGGATATTGTGAACCAACCATCTTAACCTTTTATTTTGAGATTACTAAATACAATCCAGCGCCCCACTCCTGAAAGTCTGCAACCCCTGGCCGGTGACATGCTCCCTAGAGAGCAAACACCTGACAAGCCCTTTTACCCTAAAAAGTGCTTTGGCTCTTTGACATTGTTTTGCGCCCCTGAAAGCTATAGGTAACCAGGTAATTAAGGTTTCAGAGTGCGCCTGTTAGTCGTATCCACAAAAAAAAGGAGGACTTGTGGCACCTTAGAGCTTGTTAGTCTCTAAGGTGCCCAATCCTCCTTTTTTTTGCAGGTATCAGCATACCTTCACTAGGTATAGTTCTACTAGCTATGTGCCAAAATTCAAATGGTTCTGTTTGGTTTATCTTTCATTCAGCTTTGCAATTATTAGATCCCATTTAACAACGGAACTGAAATAACCAAAGCAAGTTAAGAAGAGAACCGGGCACAGGCGGGGGTAAAACAATAAAGAGAAAGAACGACTATGCAAAAAGAACATCCCAAACTATCAGAGCCCCAGACTCCCGTCCAACTGAATCTACCCAAGCCAGGCATATCAAGCTGGGCCCCTGAAAAATCGCCCATCCCGTCTGGCAGTGAATGCCGCGTGTTCCAGATGGAGCTATGGTGTGTGCATCTGCTCCGCTGACATGCTGCTTTGGTCGAAGCCACCATGGCCACAGGGAGCAGAGACATGGACTCCTACAAAACAAAATCCAACAGCGTCCCCTCCCACCTCCGCACAGTTGCCATCCCTTCCCCCACCTCCACATGGCCACCTCAGCCTATTGCTAACAGTTCCTTCCAGCCTTCAGCAGTGTAAATAAATAAAACATGATGTTACAACAGGTAGATCATGCCAGAGCAACTGTCTCCTTCTGTGAGAAGGTCACTTTTTTTGGACAAAGAAATGCAGTAGCTCTAATCACGTGGATGTCAGTAGGTATTCGATACAGTTCCATATAAGAAACTATTAGTTAAATTGGAGAAGATGGGGATTAAGATGAGCACTGAAAGGTTGATAAGGAATTGGTTACAGGGGAGATTACAAGGGGTCATGGTGAACGGTGAGTTGTCAGGCTGGAGGGAGGTTACTAGTGGCGTTCCTCAGAGGTCAGTCTTGGGAACGATCTTATTCCACATTTTTATTAGTAACCTTGGCACAAAAAGTGGGGGTGTGACACAAAGCTGGCAGTGACTGCTAACATGGAGGAGGCCAGGAATATCATCCAAGATCTGCATGACCTTGAAAGCTGGAGTAATAGAAAACGGGATGAAAATCAGTAGTGCAAAATTATGCACTTAGGGACTAACAACAAGAATTTTGCAAATAAACGAGGACTTATCAGTTGGAAGTCACGGAGGAGGAGAAAGACCTAGGTGTATTTGTTGATCACAAGATAATTATAAGCTGCCAATGGGACGCGGGCGTGAAATAGGTTAATGCAGTCCTTGGATGCATCAGGCGAGGTATTTCCAGTAGACACAGGGAAGGGTTAGTCCTGTTATACAAGGTACCGATGAGACCTCATCTGAAATACTGTGGGCCATTCTGGTCTCCCATGTTTAAGAAGGATGAATTCAAAGTGGAACGGTGCAGAGAAGAGCTACTAGGATGACCCAAGGAATGGAAAACCTGCCTTATGAGAAGAGACTCAAAGAGCTTGGCTTGTTTGCCGAACCAAAGAAGGCTGAGGGGAGATAGGATTGCTCTCTATACATACATCACAAGGATAAATACCAGGGAAGGAGAGGAGTTATTTAGGTTAAGCACCAATGTTGACCCTAGAACAAATGGATACTGGCCATCAGTAAGTTTTGGCTTGAAATTAGGCGAAGGTTTCTAACCATCGAAGTGAAGTTTTGGAACAGCCTCCCAAGGGGAGCAGTGGGGGCAAAAGAACCAACCGGTTTCCAGACTGAGCTCAATACCTTTATGGAGGGGATGGTACAATGGGACTGCCTACAATGCCATGTAGCTGATCTGCGATTGCTAGCAGCAAATATCTCCAAAGGGTGGTGATGGGAAACTAGATGGGGAGCGCTCTGAGTTACTACAGAGACTTCTTTCCCAGGTGTCTGGCTGCTGGCTCTTGCCCATATGCTCAGGGTCTAATTGATTGCCATATTTGGGGATGGGAAGGAATTTTGCACACACTTAGATTGGCAGAGACCCAGGGGGTTGGGGTTTTTTCCCTTCCTCTTCAGCATGGGGCATGGCATGCGTCATTTGCAGGTTTAAACTAGGGTAAATGGTGGATTTTTTTGTAATTTAAGGTCTTTAAATAATGATTTGAGGATACACTGATGGCGATCAGGGCCCTATTGTGCTGCGCTTGGCAGAGAGCCTGACTGAGATCAGCACCCCCATTGTCCTGGGCACTGCACAGACAGAGAGGGACAGTCCTTCCCCCAAAGCAATCACAATCCAAGTAGACAATGGGTAGGAGGAAAACAGAGAGGGGCAGGGACTCCCCAAGGTCACCAAGCGGGTCAGTGACAGAGCCAGGAACAGACCATGCAAACACCAGAGCCCCAACACTCTCAGCTTGGAAAGGTCCCCAGACCCCACTGTATTAGGCTGCGGGAAGAGGTGGTTTGTCCATGGAGGCACAGGCTGTCCTGGAGGGCAGCTCAGCTGCAGGCCCTGCACAGCTGGGGGGTGTCCCTCGGGGTCAGGAGAAGTCAGTGTCCAGTCCTGTGGGGCTGTGCTCCTGCCTCGTACCTCCAGCACTCACTGCTGCCCCTCCGTTACCAGCTGCACTGTTCAGCCAGCCCCACGCCTCAGTGAGGTCACTGTCCCCCTCCCCACCCCAAACCGTCCGACTGGGACATGGTGACCCGTGCCAATCAGACTGCACTAGTGTAAATTGTGTCTGTACTAAGGGTTTGACCAGTGCCTAAAACACCGGCGTGGCAGATACCTTCAGTACCCAAAACAGCACTCGAACTGGGATCTCTTTCTAGCTCTGTCACGGACACCTGCGTGACCTTGGGCACTCAATGTTTCTCCTCCCAACTTTCGTCTACTTACCCAGCTGCCCACTCACTGGGGTCCCCTCTCTCTCTCCAGGCTGCTCACCCCTAAGGTCTGTGTGGGTGGCCCCAGGGCCAAGGTAGCTCAGCTCTGGAAGAGTCTTACAAGGGCGGCTGTGGAGTCTCTCTCTCTGGAAGTTTTTAAGAGCAGGGAGGACAAACCTCTGTCGGAGATAATCTACCTGCACTTGGTCCTGCCTCGGCAGAGAGAGCTGGACTTGCTGACGTCTTGAGGTCCTGGCCAGCCCTACATTTCTATGGTGCGATGCAATCTATACGTAGAAAAACACAACCCACAGAATAAAACCCACCGCCGCCAGGCCAGGCAATTTGGGGAAAAAACCCCAAGCCCCCCAGGCCTCCTCTCCGCCGCGCGGGCCAGCTGTGGGTCGGCGGTGAAACCCGAGGGACCGAGCGAGAAGAGGCAGCGTTGGCAGGGAAACGCACCCCCCGGCTGGCGGATGGGGGGAAAGGGCGAAGTCGCAGACGGGGGGCGTAGGTGACCGCTGGCGGGACGGGGCCCAACGCTCGGGGCCCAGCCCGGTCGAGCGGACGAGGAGGGAGCAAGTGGGGGGGGGGATTTGGGGGATATTTTCTAGCCATCAGTTGGGGGGGGGGGGGGGGGACGGGTCACAAACCCCCCTTTGAGAAGAGGCGAGAAACCCCCCCGGGGCGGGCGGGGGGGATTTCATGGGGCCCGGGGGGGGGGGGGGGGGGGCCGTTTGAAGGGATTTTATGGGACTGCCCAGCACAGACAGACACGAAGTGGGTCCCCCCCCTTCACACGGGCCGCGGGGGGGGGCAGTTTGAAGGGGCCCGGGGGGGGGGCGGTCCCTGGACCAGGGAAGGGGGCAGCAGCGGGGGATGGGCAGGTGCCCCCCCCCGCTTCTCCCAGGGACCAGAGACACTTCAACCCCCCCCCCGCCCACTACGGAGGCCGAACCGGGACCAACCAGCGCAGGCCCCGCCCCCGCTTCCGGCCTGGCCCCGGCCCGGGGGGTCTCGGCCCAGTCCCCCCCCCCGAGGAGCGGCTCGGACCCAGGCCGGGCGCCCCCGCCCCCCACCCCGCCCGGCTCTTACCGGCTCTGCCCCGCGCTTCCCGCCGCCGCCGCAGCGGGCCCCGGAAGTGACGTACCCAGGGGTGCGCGCGGGGGAAGGGAGGGGGAAGGAGGAGGCACGTGACGGTTGCGGCCGTTAGGGCCGTTGGAGCGCGGCGCGCGCGCGGGGCTGTGAGGCGGAGCCGCCCCTCCCCCCCCGCTGGGGGCGGGGTTCTCCACAGCCCCGCCCCTTGCCCCGCCCTCCGCTCCCGGCCCCGCCCCGCCCCGGCCGCGGGGAGCTCGGGGGACCCCCCCCCCGGCAGGAGCCTGTCCCCGCCCCCCCCCCCCGCGGCTCCTGCCCCTCCCCCCCCGCGGGGGCCGGCATTAACCCCTCCCTGCCCGGGGGGGGGAGGGGCAGCCCCTGGGCCGGAGCCCCCCCGCAGCCCGAGGGGGGGGGGATTCCCAGACCCCGTTTCCTGGGAAGAAGGGGAGGAGAAGCCAGTTCCCACCTCTCCCTATTCCCGCCCGGGGCTGGGGGTGGGCTGCCCCCCCCCCCCGCCCGGGGACCAGCTCTGGGGGGATCCCCCCGCCCCCCATGACTCCTTCGGCTGGGCTCTGCCAAAGGGGGACCCGGCCTGGCCCCTGCGGGGGGGGGGGGACTCAACCCTGCCCCCCCTTTCCCCCCGCGCCGGCTGCCGAGCCCTGGCCATGGCTTGCTCCCCGGGGCCAGGGGCCAGGGGCCCCGCTCGGGAAGGGATCCTGATCCTGGTCGCGAGAGAGGGGCAGAAACTCCCCAGGAGGGAGGGAACTTGGGGGGAGCTGGGTCTGGAGGTGGGAGAGGGCGGGAAACAGCCAGGGTGGGTAAAAGGAGGGGGCCCTTGTGCTTTCAGGGGCCGGTGGCTTTCGAGGCGGTGTATTTCACCGAGGAAGAGGGGGCGTCATGCAGGAGACCTGTGAGACGGTGGCCTCGCTGGGTAAGGGTTCCCGTCCCCGCGGTTGCTAGAAGGGGGAATGAGGAGTTATGGTATACGTCATGCCCACAATGCCACCTTAACTCTGCCCTGTCTCAGCATCACCCCAACATGCCCGGGACACACCCCCCCCCAGCCCTGTGCCCTGCCCGACAGCACTGGGAACAGAGCCCAGGAGCCGAATAGCACAAAAGTCTCACACCGTCTTGTTGCTGAGGTAACCTCTGGGTGCGTGTGTGACATGGGGAACAGAAGCAGCTTTCACTCAAACACGGAGCCTGTTCCGCACAAACTATCGCAGACGTGCAAAATATCCCTGTATTCGAGAGAGCTTGGAGCCCTGGGCCTGGTGCAAGACCGGAGGCCTGAATCAAAGTGAGCAAAAGCCCGTGCTGTGAACCAAAGTCAGGCCCCGTCACAAAGCAGGTGCTTGCTTATGAGTTCACTGTCCGGTACGTGAACTTGGCCAAGGCATGGCTAGCATTGCAAAAACCCAGGCATTCCTAAGTAGTATTAGGTCCTGGCTATTTATGTGAACACATTCCTGGGGGATGGGTCAGGAACACACCGACCCCGAGTAAGAGAAGGGTGGGAGGACAGAATGATGGGTGGGGATGTTTTGTTCAAAGCAGCAGGTGCAAGGTGCAGGGTTGGGGGCTAACCACATCAGGAGTGTAATATGTAACTTGTTTGTGTCAATGTGTAAAAGAGAACTCATGGGAGGGGCACCTTTGTCCAGCCCAGGGGGCAGCTGACAGTCCTACTGATGACTGAGCTGGTCCGTTGTCACAGGCGTACGTGTGTTAATGTACCTGTAGCTCCTCTAGGGCGCTAGCAAATATACCCCCAGATGGCTGACATCCCAGTGGTGAGAACACACCCTTCGTATCCTTGTCGCAGCTCTGCCAAGCTGCTGCAAGCCGTCACTCCCCCCTTCAATTCCAGTGCAGCTGACACAGGGCACACAGAGAAATGCTGGTATTCGTGTCTGTGGAACACAACACACACAATAGCATCTTCACCACGGACCCCCCTGCAGTGCCTCACATCCAGGCCGTGTCTAGATCTTGTGTTTTCTTTCTGCATAATGTCGCTCAAATAGGGCTTTTGCTACCCATCCACACAGCTAAAGCTCTTGTGCAGGAGATCGTCCCCATTTCAAATACCGCAACATCCTGTTCTCTCACCTTGAGCAACGCAGTCTGGCCCTGCTCATATCCATTCAGAAGTAAACAGCCACAAAGCTGCCTCGTTATCCTCAGACATGCCCAGTTCTTTCAACCTTTCCACATAGGTCATGTTTAGTCATGGGAAAAGAAGGCCGAGAGGGAAGCTGATATTAGTCTTCCTAGATGTTAAGGGCTGTTACAAAGAGGACGGTGATCAATTGCTGTCCATGTTCACAGGGGGAGGACAAGAACTAATTGGCTTAATCTGCAGCCAGGGAGATTTAGGTTGAATATTAGGGAACAAAATTCTAACAATGAGGATAGATAAGTACTGGAATAGGTTACCAAGTAAACTGTGGGATCCTCATCATTGAAGATGTTTTAGAACAGGTTAGGCCAAATTGTCAGGGATGGTCTAGGTATAATGGTCCTGCCTCAGCACAGAGGGATGGACTAGATGGCCTCTCAAGGTCCTTTCCAGCACCACGTTTCTATGATTCGTAATCCTAGCCCTTCGCTTGGAACATGTCACCCTGTGGAGAATCTGGGAATTTTTTTAGTAATACTGTTTTCTTAATAATATGCACAACTCAGCTTCCCATCTCCCTTTGCTTTGTTACCTATGGTGCAGATGTTGTCTGGAGTTTGGTGCCATGCAGGGCTAGCAGTAATGAGAAGGAGTTGGATCAGGAGCTCAAGGAGCTGGACAAGTTGTTGGTGAAAGTAAAGGAAGGGTGGGTGCAGGGTAGTGGGTGCTCCAGGAAATTGGGATGGTTGCAATGGAAGGGAGGCAAGGGATTCTTTTTTTTGGCAGGGGCTCCTAGGAGTTAGGAGCAAGTTACACTTGGCATAGTTGCAGGGTGGGGTGCAAAGTGGTTGGGGAACAGGAAATTTGGGGAAACTGGTAGTGAGGAGGGATTTGGCAAGGGGCAGGAAGGAACGAACACAAGGAACGGGTACTCCTGAGGTCGCGTAAGGTGGGAAGAGCTGAGATTGGTGGGAAGGAGGAGGACTGGGTATCATAGCTACACCTCTGTCCCCTCCCAGGTCTCTCTAAGTACCTCCACCACCGTCCCCTAAGCTGTCAGGCCTCGTGCATCTCCTCTCCTGGAGTGGAATTCTGGAATACTCTTGCTCCGAGACAGGGCCCTGGGAGGCAATAACCCATGTGTGAACTGTGCTTACCCAGCAGACCAAGTTGAGTGCAAAGACCTTCAGGAGTCTGGGATCAGGAGTGCACAGTGACAAAACAGCCTTCTTCAAACGGCAGTCATGTTTGTTTTGCATAGGGAAAAAGCAAAAGAGAAATAAGGATTTTAAAAATTAGTTTTCACACATGCTTGTCTTACCTAAAGGCCCGCCATCCCCAGTGATCATCTAGGCAGACCTTCCTTCTTCACACACCCCTGCTCAGTCCACGAGTCTCTGTCTCACTTCTCCAACTAATTATCTGAGCAGCCATCCCTCTTTGTAGCGGGAGTCCCTTTTTAAACTGCCCCAATCCTTTTGATTTTCTTGGTCCCAGGCCTTGGCCTGGCTCGTCAAACCCCGTTCTGTAAGTGGCTTGGAGACAGGAGCTAGAATATTCAAAGCTAATAGTTCAGGCCTTGTCTCTTAACAAGGGACCACCAAGGTGTATCTCATCATGAACCATTTGCCTTCCCTTTCTGCTTGTTTTCCTTACAGCCCCCGCATTAAACTAAACCGAATTATTCACACAGTAAATATCCCAATATCCAGGTGATCATAAAATATTCACCAACACTGCAGAGCAGCTCCAACTCTGTCACGGGGGGGTTGGAGAAATTGGACCAAGGGACACCTGGGAAGCATGTGGAATGGGTCAGTGGGACATAGGGGAAGGGAGGTTTAGGGGATGTGGAGCTATGGGGGATCCCAGAACATAAACACAGAATCCCTGCCCAGGCCATATTGATATAGAGCCTGCAGCCCCTTCTTACAACAGTCCAGTGTCACTTTGTTTTACATATTTTTCATATTTTATTATTTTCACTCTTCTCGTCTCTCTATTGCTCAGTGCCTTCCCCCCGGCTACTATGCATACGTCTCTTCCCTAAGACCTGT